GCCTAGTTAAATATTTATTTTTAATCACTTTTAAATTTTGTATTGTATTGTATTATTGTTTTTAAACTGGCTGTAAGCCGCCCTGAGTCCTCCGGGAGAAGGGCGGGGTATAAATTTAATAAAACTAAAACTAAAACTAAACTAAAACTAAACTATTTATATTTTTGGCTTGCAGAATCAACTGGAGACAGCTCCACCTCATGAGCTGAAGAATATTTTCCATCTCTTACATGAGATATTGGTAAGTAATAGGATAAAAAGTAAGTCTCCCTCATGTCAAGCTTGCCTCTGTTGTTCTTGGAAACAGTGCTGAATGGGTATGCTATTGAACTTAGTACTAAAGCTAAGCTTAGTACTTTATTCTCAGCACTTTAAAATATACATAAAAATGCCCCCCAAAATTAAGTCGATGTCTCTACATATTAGGACCTAATTTATAAATGCCATATATTTTAGTGACTTTTAAATTATACTTTGGTAGATATGTAGCTGTGAATATATTAAAATTTTGTCTATTTTTTATTATCTGGCTTGACACAGCATTCTGCTTAAGCCAAAAAGTTTCTGTTCTCTTCTAATTGCTTTCAGTAGAAGCTGTGCACCACAAGCCTCAGTGTAACTCAGCAGTTCTCAACCTATGGGTCGCGACCCCATTTGAGGTCGATCGACCATTTCACGGGGGTCGCCAAGCAAGGCTGTCCGCCATTTTTTCCCCCTTTTCCGGCAGGTGCCTTACCTCCCTTGAGCTGGGCCAGCTGGTGGTCGGCCTGCTCCGTCTCTGCCGCTTGCCAGCTACGCCTCGGCCGGCGCAGGGGGCGTAACCACACAAGTGCGGCACTCCCGGGCAGGGAAAGTCCCCGACTTACAACCGGTTGGGTAGTCCTCAACTTACGACTGGTTTAGTCCTTGACTTACGACTGGTTTAGTCCTCGACTTACGACTGGTTGGGGTTTGCGGCATTAAAAAGGTTGAGAACCACTGGTGTAACTGATTAAGTGTGATAAAACTTTTTTATTTAATCATATCTCTTGTTTAAGTAGACTTGAACTGTTGTTGGATTTAGATTCAGCGTAGCTTAGCCTAACCTTCTCTGTTGTTTCACAGATTATTGAAGATCCTTTACAAATAGAGAGGGTCAAATTTGCATTTGAGACTGAAAATGGATTGCTGGGTTAGTACCGCTGCATAGAATTAGTAACTGTGTTTCAGAGAAAAGTGCAATGAATCCCAAAAAGATACAGTATTTTTAAATACCAAGAGACTTTAGTTATACTGTGCTTCTGGCTATAGACATTGTAAAAAGAAAGCCATGTTATTCTTTGAGATGGATAAAAATCAGGAGACTGGCAGCAGCTTTTCTAATTCTTTTATAAAATTTTAATAACATTTGTTAGTTGGGAAAAAGTACACCAGACTCCTGATGTTTAATTACTTGGGAAATCACTTTGAAATAAAGAAACGTTTTAAAAGTCTCTATATGCATAGAAGAATTTCTTTAGAAGTATTCAGAAAAAGAATTTAGAAATAAAATATATAATTCAAGAATGTTGTGTGAGATGAGCAACCATATAAGTATGATTTATGCATAATGTAAATAAACTCCTAAGGAGCTATTTCTCTCATTATGATAGCAACTTGATTCTTATACGGTATTTTGGGGCATTTTGATTACTGCAACTTAAGTACATGATATCGGAGAAATAAAAGATTATAAATTCAGGCTATGCTACAGATTTGAAATATCTGCAACTTATTTGCTAACATTTATTTTGTTGTATATTAATCTTTAAAAAGAATTCCTTTGTGAATAAAAGATAATGAGCCATAGCCTAAATTCAGACATTGGCAAGCTGATTAAAAAGCACCTTGGTTTGGCATGATGTCTAAATGTAAAATCATAGCTAATGTCATGGTCTGCATCAATTAATGCACCATGAAATGGAGTTTAACTGTGAACATGCAAAAGATACGTTGAAATAAAATGGAAGGTTTAAAAGAGCTGTAAACTGTGCTTGACACATTAGCATTGAGACTGTGTATAATCTGTTTGCTCAAGACAGTGACTACTTTTAGAAATTATTTTTGTTTTCATACCCTCTGTTAACAGCCCTGATGCATCATAGTAACCACGTGGACAGTAGTCGTTGCTATCAGTGTGTCAAATTCTTAGTCACACTTGCTCAAAAGTAAGTATGTAGTAAAAGTGAAAAACGATGCTATTCATGCCAGGTTATACACTCTTAATAAACTAGGATGTGGATGACATTTTAAATATCTTTTGTATCAAACTCAAAGCCAGGTGCAAAGGTTGGAGTGTTCTAGCTATAGAAAACAATGGGAGTAGCAGTTATCTCCCATTCTCTGTAATCTAGATAGTGAAATATTAGCATTGCCAGAGTAACTGCTACTGACTAGCCAACATACAGAAATATTGGTGACAGGAGCAATATTAACAAACCATTAAAAAGAATTGGGGGGAAATATTCTCATAGGAAAGCCTTGGGATGGGAAGAAAAACAGCATGAAGAAATACTCTGTAAATCTCAACAGAAAAAGGCCCACAGAGAGGACACTTTTAGTAAAACATAGGCTTGTAAATAGTTGTAGCTTGTATTGCTAATATCCTTTCAAAATATTTTCAAAATATTTTATCCTCCTTGCTTTGATTTGGCAGCAAAGTCAGAATTCACATAGTAAATACCAAGAATTATTTCTATATGACCAGAAAGGGAACCTCTTGTAAATTGGAATAATCTAAAAAGAAGAGGGAGCATAATCCTTTAATATCTCAGATACATAATTTTCATAATTTCTCTTCTCTCTTAAAGATGCCCTGCTGCTAAAGATTATTTTAAGGAGAATTCTCATCATTGGAGTTGGGCTGTTCAGTGGCTTCAAATAAAGGTAATACTTATTGTTAAAAAAACAAATATATACAGATACAATGTAATTCAGTGTTATTTAGTCTCAATAAATCCTCTTCCTGGGTCAAAAGTGAGGAAGAGGGAGCAGGAAATTTTTCTTTTTGGAACTGATTTCCTTTTGAAATCCAATCCAGTAACAATTTGCAGTTTGATTTTCGTTAATTAGTACTTTCACGTTTTCACATTTTTCTAGATGTCTGAACATTATTGGGCTCCACAAAGTAATATATCCAATGAAACCTCAACTGCCAAAACCTTTCAGCGCACTATTTCTGCACAGGTCAGTAAAACTGGTTGTAAATTTATTGCATTTTTGTTCCTTTTACTTTAAGAATAGCAATTGTGTTTTTTTTAACACCCAGATGAACCAAAGGGATTTTGCTAAGCTTTTTTGTTCTTTATGGAATTTAGCATACTAATTATATTATGGTATTTTGGGGACTATGCATGCTTAGAAAATAATTTGGGGGAGCTGTTTCAGAAGATGGGGAGATAAGTACTTTAGTACTTTAAAGTACTTTTAAAGCTTAGAGTATTTTAAAGCAGCTGCATCTTTAATGGGAATCATTAAAGCATCCAACTTTTGTCTGTCTCTTGAGATGGGGACTCAGAAGATTGCTTTTCTTTTTGAAGCATGTACTCTAAACCATTGTCTAAATATGTACAGTGATACATAGATATTAAGGCTACTATGTGGGAATATTATAAGTGAAATATTTTTTATTAATTTTTGAGTTGAAAGGAAAGATCAGTATATAGCGTGAATTCATTTCCAACTACTACATATCTTTTTTCCCAGTGACTTCCAATTGCATCTAAACACATTAGCTTAGCTTTTAGTTCTCACACTCTTCCTTTAGGACACACTGGCATATGCCACAGCCTTGCTGAATGAAAAAGATCAATCAGGAAGCAGTAATGGATCCGAGACCAGTCCGGCCAATGAGAATGGAGGCAGACATCTGCAACAGGTGCGTGGGATGGTTTTGTTTAGTCCGTGAGGTATATGCTTGACAAAAATCAAACAGCCTGTAAACCGTCTAGCAAAGAACCTATAGACATGGGAAACGCCTTACTCCAAGTTTTAAAAATTAGCCTCTTGTAGGGATTATGTATTATGTGCTGTGACTGAGAAGTGTGTATATTATCACTATTGCATCTGTAATATACTATAATACAAAGAAAGGGTTTACATACATACAACAGTCATAATACTAAGCATAGATCTACTTATCCACTTCATAAAAAAAGACTTAGCCACCTCAACCAACACAAGACAGGGACGGTCTCTGGCCAGAAACAAAAACAATGATCAGTAGAAGTGGAGGGAGAAATGGAAAGATTGAAAGACTGAAGAACTATAAGTCCATCAGACACAAGCTGGAATAATAGGATAAAACCTCACGAATTTAGGAAAACAAAAGAGGACTATGCAAGAACCAAAAGAAGAAGCAAAACAAATGTCAGTTTCCTTCCCTCCAAATGAACTAAATAGATACTAATAGAATACAGGGTGTCAATCAGAATGTTTAATGATTCCAAATTTCTCTGAAGCCGTTCCAAGGATTTTGATTCAATGTAATACCTTCAATTAATGCAAAGATTCTGTTTGAAGGAATAATTGAAATCAAACTCTTTGAATTAATTCATCCATCTGAAGCGTCACATAGTCCTAATAATAGCTTACGTGATGTGCTTTGTTTTTAAGGCCCTATTGCCTTCAGTGGCAAGCCAGCGCTAAAGGAAATGGCGAACATGGGCAATATTCAAACATTACGTAGCAGGTAAAATGTCACAATATAGTCATAGCAAGATTATATTATCACATTACACTGTATTTATATTACATCTGTCCTGATAGTTCATGGTAGTGCTGATCTAATTTATACTGTATTTATTTCTAAACTAACCTTTGATGTAGTCAGTTTTGAAAGTATTTCCTTAGATGAAATTAACATTTCACATTTTAAAATATTCAAATAAAAGCTCTATCAATAGCAATCTCGTTAGTTCATTAAACTGCATATGACAACATGGATTCTCTGCCCAGAGTGGCTAACAGGAAGACTTGTATATCTCTGCAATCTCCTGCTCATTTTCACCCCCAACCGGTATTAAAAGAGAGTTATCTCTGATCCTAGGTATGTTCTAAGGTCGTCATGACCTGGAGCCATTGACAGATTTTGTCTTCCATAAATTGGTTTAAGGGCCATATGTTGAGGGATATTGCTTTTTAATATAGCAAATTCCATACATACTTCCCTTTTAGTGCTCCTAATCATGGTGTGTCATCATAGCCTAACACAGGTAGTCCTCATTTAACAACTGCAATTGGAACCAGCAATCTTGTTGCTATCTGTCAAGATCATTCATATGACCTCACCTGATTTACAACATCAATTCCACTTTGGTCATTACGCACAAATCACCCATGGTTGTTGATCACATGACGGCAGCTTAAGACTTCCTGCCAGTTGCTCCATTAACTTTGCCTGTCCGAAGGTGGCTGTGAAAGTTGCAAGTGGTGATCATGTTACTGCAGAACACTGTCCATTGTAAATGCACGCCAGTTGCTATCGCTATCCCATGACCACCGGGACGCCACAACCATTGTACTATCATAAGTTTGAACAATTGCTAAACAGTTATTAACTGAGGACTATCTATATTTCACATTCAGTCCATTCTGCTCCTTTCGTGAAAAATTATAGGGTTAATTTCTGGTTTCCAAAAGGCAGTTGCTAAATGATCCATAGGGCTGCTACTGAAAAATCCCTTATAACAGGGGTCCTCAACCTTGGCAACTTTAAGCTGGCTGAGGAATTCTGGGAGTTGAAGTCCACAAGTCTTAAAAGTTGCCAAGGTTGAGGACCCCTGCCTTATAATACCTTCCAGCAATAACTAGTTGTTCAATTTAAATAAAAACATAAACTTTCTAATTCTTTTGTATTTTTAAAAGGGTTCGGTATCTCCCATGATGATTGGCGAACCTAAAAGTGACCTTGAAGATGTGGATACTTAATTGATGGCTGCAAGCTGAAGGAGAAAAGCCCCTCTGAAGTGGAGAATACCCAGCGCCTTTGTGATATGGCTGGAATCCTTTTGTTTTCACTTTTAGAGGAAAAGAAAGTAAATGCTTTCAAAAGATTCAATAGGTACTTTGTAATGAGTTAAAAGTATTCTTCAGTGGAGAAGTTCCAGCATTAGGCTATGAAAGTCTCCCGGCATCTGCTCTGAGTCTTATAAAGATGCTAGTTTAGGCATGAGTAAAACAAAACAAAACCCTGTCAAGATTCCACCCATTTAAGAACAGTTATCAAGTTATTGAAACTTTTATGTGAACATTTAATGAGTGAATGTAAAACTTTTGCTTTTCTGTGATGCTGCAAAACAAAAGAAAAATGAAAAAAAAAAAGACTTGGGTTTTATACAGAAGAAAAATCAGATTGCCTTTACGTATGAATGGCAAATTTTTAATCTTTTTTTGTTCGTTTGTTTGAAAATATTGAATAGGAATATTCAAAATTATGTAAAAAAAATGTGATTTACACTTGGCATTGTAAAATATTAGTTAAGAATAAATTTACACAAGGACTTTTGTATTTAATATGTCTCTAGGTAATTTGTATAGTGCTTTACGTAAAGGGTTGTTTTTAAGAGAGCCCTTTTATGTAAGGATGATTATTCCTTATGGAATGGTTTTGGTACAAGTTAGTCTGGAATTGGTAACCTTTTTTCCTGATGCTGTGTGCTTAAAGGGTAAGAGCAATAAAAGAGCTTTGTTTATTCCAAGAATACAATTATGGCATCAGTAGGACTTTTTAGAAAATGATGAGTAAGTTTAACAAAAAAAAAAGCACTTTAAGACAGAATTTTATTGCTGTTTGCCTCCTTAAATCATCCTTCTACTACTTGGAGACATATTGAATAAACCGTTGTGTTAATTATGTGATCTGCAATCATTTGCTTATACTTTTAAATTGAAAAAGTAGAAATTGGCATTATATGATTACTGGAGTAAAGTAGGGACGTTTCAATTCTTAAAAAAAATTTAACACAGGCAAAGGATTGCAAGCTGTTTTGCTTAGCTAGGCAGCACTTGAAATACAAGTGTAATTCTTTCATAACTGGAAACAAATTGAACTTAATATGAGTATGTTTTTGTTTACCACGTGAAATCTCTTAAATTACTCTCAACGCTTTTTCCCACACCAATTTTGAATCCCAGTTTCTTTTTTTTTTTCCCCACCTTTTTCTTCATTTGCTTTTCCTTTTGGTTTTGTTCAAGGATTTTGCCTTAATTTATACAATATACCATGCACATGAACTGGGGGGAGATGCTCAGAGTGCCTGGACAATTTGCCAAGTCAAAGGCACAAGCAGCCAAAAAGTGCCTCTTTTTTTTTTCTTTTATTACTGTTACAAAAACTGAACTGGCACACAAATTACTTCACTGTTGTGCACTAGTTGTGAATATAACAGGTCATTTCACTGTTGCTGGAAATAGCTGCACATCTTCCAGTTGAAATTCTCTGCCATACGGGTGAGTCAGAGAAATACTGTTAACAATGACGCTTCAGTTGAATGTCTTCTCTGAAGATAACACTTTCAATGAAGTTAGCAGAACTCAGATATTTTATTAAGCCTTCAAACATTTTAATACAATGTTTTAAAATTTAGAATAAATGTTGTTCCTATCCCATCCTGACTGTGTCACCCTATCTTCCATTTAATTTAAATGAAAGTAAGTTATAGAGCTGACCTGAAGAGAAAGGAATCGGTCCAAAATCATTTAAATTTGCATTGTTTCCTATGGAAAAGGGGATCTCATCCCAAATTGAAGCAGGGCATTTTTTCAGAATCACAAGATGATCTGTTTCACCGCTATACTTTCTAAAACCATTGCAAACTCTTTTCTGCTTCACTCCCAATTTGTAGAGAGTTAATGGCTATGGTTTTCAAATATAATATTTGGTCAATTATTTGGCTTCCAGCTGTTATCACTTCAATTGGCTGAAGGCTTTTTTTTTTTAAAGAAACATTTGCCGTGCAAATTGTCACACATTTTATGTTGCAGTCTCTTTTACTGCCAGTCCTTTTGGATGAAAAATGCATTTTATACATAATGTTCTCTAGCACTGGGGCAATTACAATTTCGTTGCGTCTTCTTATTGTGTACAGTTGTGTTTAACTAGTTCCCAAGGGAGCGAAAAATGGAAGGGAGAAGTAGTTTCCCTGAGGAAAAAAAAATCCCGGTCAATGGAATAAAGTTTATCCCTCTCACCAAAAAAAGAAAAAGATGCCTGATTATTAACTTAAAAAACAGAGAGGTGTGGTGGCCTAGAAGTGGAGCTCTCACCTCACAATCGGGAGGCTGTGAGTGTGATCCTAGGTAACAGCCAATTTTTCTCTCTGGGCACAAAGAGAAAATATCTCCTGCGAACTCCACCCAGGTGTCAGGAAGGATATCTGGCCAGTAAACGCTCAGCTCCACCCTGATGGAAGGGATTACACGATCATTAAAAGGAAAAAAAAAAACACAGCTGCTGTTTAGCTGGTTCATTTATCTAGCTCCTGTTCAATTAGAATTGGATGTTGGAGAATTTGAGAATCCAAAATAACCACTCAAAAATGGAATTATGAGAAAGTTATTTTCCGAATCTTACTTTGTCCTGTATGCATGACTCATTAGCATAAGGCTGCCCTGCTCCGAGGCTTTTTTTTTTTTTTTTTTTTTTGCCTTCCAAACCAGATGCAAAATAGTTTGGGATCCTCGTAGGAAGATTACATTAAAGTTCTGTCTTCTCCTATCTAGAGGAAATGTGAAATATAATAGGGCAATAGCAATAGCACTTAAGACTTATATTCCTTTCCCATAGTGAAAGTGCTTACCAATGTCAGCATGCATATTGCCCCCAACAATCCAGATCCTCATTTTACCAACCTCGGAAGGACGGAAGACTGAATCAACCTTGAGCCCATCAGGATCAAACTCCTGGCTGTGGGCAGAGTTAGCCTGCAATCCTGCATTCTAACCACTGCGCCACCAGAACAATATCAGTATTTTATACAAAAGAGGTTTGAGGGTATTAAGGATATTTTTCATACCTATCTTCTACATAATCTGGTAACTTATATACCTCCTAAAGTATTTTGTTCTGCCACACCTTTTACAATGATATCGCTTATGAGCTTGAATCTCTAATGAAAAAAATAAGATGTGATAAAAATTAAAAAAAAATTCTGTTCCCTTTTCCTTAAATATAATTGTAGAAAAATGCAGAGGAGGGTTTTAAGTACAGTTTCATAAATGCAGCCACATTAAAATTGTATGAAACTTTTATTTCAAAAAGAAATTGCTTTATAAAATGTTATATAAAACAGAATAAATAGATTCAGATAAAAATGTAAAATCTACAGCACAAAGAAATCTCAAGCAATTACAGTAGATAATAAATTTGAGTATTAACTTCAAAATAACATACAAGGAATCACATGCAATTTACTCTGTTCATGATTCGGTATTCTTTTTGCCCTTTCTAAAACAGAAATGCAACTTAGGCTACAATCCAATACACATTTACTTTGAACTAAACTTAATATTTAAGGAAACATTATATGGTCCCTTAGTTAAAAGTATTTTTACCCAGTAATTGAGCATACACATGATTAAAGATTCAATTATATAGGCAGTCAAACATTTGGTAAGTAGGAAAGAGTTTTACATGAAATTAATAGCTTGCTTTGAAAAACCAACTTAAATGGTTGCTACCAAATACTTTATTAGGAAACTATACTGTTTGGTTACCCAGCGTTTACTTGGTTTCATAGTTGCCTTAAGGCCACTCATGCAGAAGTCCCTAAATCTTCAGTGCTTTAAAAGCTTCAGGTTTGCTTGTATAAAACTATTCTTCATTGGTCCAGTGGAGGCCAATGATAACCTTTTTTCAGCTACAGTTCCCAGTATTTTTCAGAATAAAAATCCTTATCGTAAAAAGATGGGAGCTGAGAGTTATGCTTCAGTGATATGTAGGGGGCTAGTAGTTATCCACACTGATCCAGCCTCCTTAGAGAAAACTGCTTGCTCTGATTTTTGCAGAGCTTCTTCCATTCATGGTTACAGAAACTAACAAAGTGAAATAAAAGTATAAGGATACAATAGGACAGGAGTGTTAAACTGCCGGCCCACAGGCCGGTTGCATCATGCAGAGGCTGCGCCCACCCCAGCTCCGGCAATGCAAAAAAAAGTTGCGATACTTCGCGACACGTCACATGACACGGCGAGTTTGACACCCGTGCAATAGGATATAATCCTATTTCAGACCTGCTACAACACATTGTTAAGCAGTTTTGTATTATGGCACTGGAGAATGATGACAGAAAATAGTACAAACTAGATCCTAAACGACCAACACTGTTTCAGGTTGAGAGCTGCAACTACCATAGAATCACAAGAAGTGAGCAGAGGCAGGAGAAACATTTTCCAACTCTTATCAACTTGTATTTGAATACTGGTATATCTTATTTTATTGCGCTTTGCTTTATTCAACTTTGCACATACTGCATTTTTTTAAACAAATTGAAAGCTTATGGCAACCCTGCGTTGAACAAATATGTTGGCACCATTTTTCCAACAGCATTTGCTCATTAATAATAAAGAACCTTAATTAAGGTATGTACATTGTTTTTTAGACATAGTGCTATTTTACACATTTGATAGACTACAGTAGAGTGCAAACATAACTTTTACAAGCACTCGGGAAACACCCCAGCCCCCCCCCCAAAATAGTGTGACTCACTTTATTGTAATATTTGCTGATCTGGAACCGAACCCACAATATCTCCCAGGTATGCCTGTTTCCTTTAAAAGTATTAAATGGTTAAATTGTTACGTTTATGTTTAACTACAAAGGATACTCTGTTAATTGCACAGGGCCTCTAGAAGGAAGGGTTAAATGCAGCCCATGGTTTGTCTATGCTTGTTGCAAAATATTACCATACAACTTACTATATAAAAATATTCAAAAAACAGGAGGATATAATGATAATTGGTATGCTCTGCAATTAATCTGCTATCCTGGGCAGATTTAAAGTATTAATACTTTCACTTTCTCCAGTTTTAAGCATCATTAATATATACACAGACGTTTCTAGTTATAGTTCAACCAATGAAAGGTTGTGACCAAGTTAAAGAATTACACAGAAACTGTTACCTTCTTCATCATTCTGCCTGCTCTGCCCTACCCCCACCCCCCAGCCTTCTATGCTATAAGCATAATGCATTGAACTAGTGGATGGTTGACAAAATAGATATTCTAAAAAGCCTGGAAGTCACTGATTGCAAATAAAAAGTTGGTGAAAAATCATGTATGCAGCTAATTGATCAAAGATATTTTACAAATGCAGCTTAACTGATATTATCGAGACAACAAAGACATCCATTTCTTGATGTTAACGATGGGAACGTTGCTAGAGGGATGATGTTTTGCACAACTGCAGCATCTGAAATAGTTGTGCTAAGCTAAGGCTATCACAAGCAATCCCAAGCTGTATTGGAGTTCTGCTCTAGGGACTACTGTGTTTACCAGTGTGACCCTATATGGCAATTGTCAAAATTCGTGGGTCCTTTGGATAGTTGGAGAGGGGAAAAGGTAGAATTGTCAGTTGTTACTGGAACTTTGCTTCTCTTCTAAGAGCCTCTTTCTGCAGCAAATGGCAACTGCGGTTGCTCCTTTGCTTCCTGGACGGCTGATTACAACACAGGTGTTGTCCACTGAATATGCCCCAAGACTGTTGGAGCTATGTGACTGGGCATTACATCCGGTTAGAGTCCAGCCCTCATCACAGGTCTCCATCACCTGAGAAAAAGGAATAGAGGTTATTTTTAATCAACATACTGCTAAAATTCTCGTGTCTGTAATCTTTAACTGGGCAATCACCGGGCAAAACATTTTCAAAGTACCTCAAATGGGCTAACTTACAGAATGTATCCAAAATTCAGGACTCCCGTGGAACTGAAATTTGGCAAATTTTATAAAGCATTTTATGACATAAAAATAATAAAGCATTTTATGACCCAGTACAAAATGTCATGAAACATTTCCTGTGGTCAATGGATGTTTATGCTCCTTTCAAGCAGATACGCCTTTGAATATCTCCCTGATTTTTAAAGAAATTTTCGAAGTACATTAGATCCCATTGTTGAAGGCATTGAGAAATCTGGGAAGGAAATATATCTGAAATTATGACCCAACAGGACACAGGTTGTCTAGCAGTAAAAAAAGTTTTGAAAATAGTATAGGTCAGTGGTGGCGAACCTATGGCACGGGTGCCAGAGGCGGCACTCAGAGCCCTCTCTGTGGGCACGCGCGCCGTTGCCCCAGTCCTAGGCCTTCAGCTGGGTTTTATAAAATCTTTTTGCTTTAGGCCTCCACCGCCGTGTGCAAAAAAAAAAAAAAAAAAGTCAATTTGAACTCGAGGGGAAAAAATGATCTTGCAAAGTTGGAATTGATTGAACTTTTTAGTCCAATCCAGTCTGCCGTTACCACCGCAGCCACGCCCACCCAATGGGCCACTCCCAGCCAATGGGCCATACCCAGCCAATGGGTCACACCCACCCAGCACTCGACAATGCATAAGTGGGTTTTGGGTTGCAGTTTGGGCACTCGGTCTCTTAAAGGTTCGCCATCACTGGTATAGGTTCTCCCAATCCTCCTGGAATTCAACTCTAGCAACATTAGCCAGCATGTCCAGTGATCAAAGATCATGAGAAATATAATATATGAGAAGGAGGTTCCCTGCCTTTAGTTTGTGTATTTGGCTTTTCTTCCTGTGTTGATTCCTTTTCCTTTTGAAAATTATTATTCTGAGCTTCTGAAGCATAAAAGTATTTTCTCTCTTCTGCTAATGAAGCTCTACAAAATGCTGCATGGAGAATCTGACATTTCCAATTTAAAAGTAAACAATTTTTTCATAGGAAATTTTCAGAAGTGAAGTAACAGTTGACTGAAACACAACTGTCTGCTACGGCTATTAGAAAGATTACTTCCTACAGTATTGAACATGAATGAGGCACTAGTTCTCTTGTTCTTTCTCTGCAGAACCTCCTTTTATAGCAGATCTTCAAAGTAAACCCTTGTTGGACTACTTGTGACTAAACCCATAAAACACATAACCAGGTCAGGTAAAGAACAAGAAACTCCATGTACACAAGTGTTAACTTTAATTAATGCTAATTTTGATTAGTTTTGATTTTGGTTGCTGGACGCTCGCATTTTACAGAAGACCAGCCCATTTGATTAATTTATGGAACAATGACTTGTGCAAAACAAGAAAAGAGCAAGTCAGTAAATAGGCAAACCGTATTGTGTGAACTGACAATCTCTAACAGCCTTTCCCTGGCTACTCAGTGGCCGTGCAAGGGATAGCACAGAATCATTTTCATCTTCATTAGAACTTGCACTTCTTAAGAAGCAAGTTACCAGAGCTAGACCGGGAGATGCCATCAAGAATGATATGCACATACCTTTGTTGAGTACTCCAGGGGAGGATGTCCCTGAACTTTGCACTCAAGGCTGGGTGCATGGCAGCAGAAAGCGTGCACCGTTGCTTCTCCTTGGCTTACACAGTGGGCCCATCTACTGTCCGCCTGGTGTACAGCATTGATGCCGCCACTGAGATCTCCATCCAGAGAATGAGTGCTGCAGCCTGCCAGTGTAGATCATATTAGGGCATTTTGTTAAAAAAAAAATCACTGTTTTTTGTACATTACTATAAGATTAGAAAACAAATGGTGGTACATCCCTCAGTCTTTGTATTCTCACATGCAAAACAAAAAATCCTTAGGAAAGGGAAAATGGAACTACCAACTTTGGTTTTCAATTTTTGCAAAGTGTTCAAAAAATACTTTAACATTTTCACAGTGGACCAGATGGGAAATGGCAGGCGTTTAGCACAAGACAAATGGGGAGCCAGATGAAAGTGGAACCCGGATCAGCTTTATCATTAAGAAGTTTTAGGTGGTCATTTATGGTGAGAAATGCTAGAAGATGGTGGGAAGCAGGAACTGTTAACTTTTTTCTTCTTTTGTGCTGCTAAAGCTGGTCTCTGCCAATAGCATACCATTAGCCACACGATCTGATATGCTCTTAGTATTTTATGCATACAACACCTATTTTAGTGCAGATCCCATTTGCTACAATACAACTTATACATAAACATACCTCCATATCATAAATTTTACTCTTTTAGTTACTATCATCAGAGCTGTCATAGCATACCTGTCAAAACATGGCTATCTTTGATGCAGGTAACACTTTTCATGGCCATACCCTCTGTGGTCTGTGAATGGCTATTAACCTGGCAGTCAGCCTTGGGCCAAATGCAACACCTGGCTATGGCATAGACACCTTGGCCTCGAAATCTGTTGTGAGCCACACACTCCTTCTTGCCTCCATTATCCTAGTATTTAAGGAAAAGAAGAAATGAGAATAAGACACAGAATGGCATCAAATCTGATTTTCATATCTGGCTGAGATGCAGATCTGTGTATAAAATTAATTAAAATTAAATAGCAAACTACACCATCTTGCCTTTGAACATTACCTCAATGTGCTCCCCTCGCCGTTTGCCGTCCTTGGATAAACTTGAGCAGCTGAACATGTCTTCGTAGCTGTTGCATTGGGCAACAGCTGTTGCTGCACTGGTTGAGTCAGACAAGGAAGACCACACAGAGCGACAGTACAGTTGTTCCTCTGAAAGAGAGTCGCTAATGGTCACTGTTAAGGACTAGCAGAATCCCATTTGTTTAGGACTATTTCCAGGCTTTATGATTTCTGTAGTTCAACCACTTGGAAAGATCCTACCTTTGAAAAATACATTGCGCTAACACACATAATTGACTGAATAAACCTCAAACCAGAGGTGCTGAAGTTTGAAAAATATCTTCTTTGTGCTTGCATTATTTTAACTTTGAAAACTCTGAAATAAAGGCAGGAATTAGCATGCTAAGCCTCCCCCCCAAAAAAACAATTTTCAAACACCAAAGAAGGTCAAATGTTTTCATTTCACCTTCTAATCCAGAGTAGGTAGAGAGAATGGCTTTGAAGAACATATGGAACATCCACAAACAAGCTAACAATTAGATAAATGAAGCTTGAATCCAAGCCAAGGAAATAATTTGAAAAACACCTGAGAGTTTCCCGCCTCATGAAGATAGAAGAGGGAGGGAAGATGGCACATTCAGATTTGCAAGATTCTGCTGCTAAAGCTGTTCTGCTAGAAATAGCTTAGAACTGCATGGTGTCTGTTTCATAGACTGGCATACCTGGTGACATCTGGTGACATCACTATACCACAGACATATCCCCGATGATCTCCAAGGAGGGACTGATGGCAAAAATTGAAAAGATTGGTCATTCTTGCCATAAAACAAGAATTAAAAATTGCAAAGGCTGAGTGAAGTTCATGAATAAAACAAAATCAGCTATTTGGAGGGATTAGATTAGATTAGATTAGATTAGATTTCTGCCTATCTAGCAAATATGCTTACATTTTGGTTATCAATTAAGTTACAAATGTTGATTAACAGTAAAATAGAAACAAAAAGGTTAATAGTTTAAAAACTATTAGTGAAAGTGAAAGAGATGTCAATAGATTTTCTAACGAGAGAGAATGGGCCAAATACATATAGTGCAACACTATTTGGACTTGATAAATGTGCGATCACATTTGCAGTAAAGAAATTAAATTAATTAACTCACAGGATACTCAACTTTTAAGTAAAACAAGCATCAAAGGTCTAGCACCTAAGTGAGCTTATAAATATCTGGGAATTTTGGAAACATCAGATAGTTTGTACAACAAATAAATAAATATAAATACTATAAGCTCAAATTAATGCAGATGGTTAAAGAAAATCCTAAAATCTCACCAAAATGGTTGAATCAGACAATTCATAAGCAATATCAATAATTAGATCTATTACAGGAATACTGAACCTTGTTAATCTTGACCAGCAAATCAGAAAATTAATGCTTATAAATAATGCCCTATATCCTCATATTGTTATTGACAGATTTTTTTCCAAGAAAGACTGGTGGGCTAGCACCGATTAAAGGTAAAATAAAGAACAAAAATAAAGCTTAATAATTACATCAATACAATAACAAAGCTTTATTGAATTAATCTCAGAAAGAAAGGCTATTTGGGGAAATGGAATCTCAGTGACTATAAAAAGCAACAGCTTGAAATGAGGTTAGAAAATTGGAAAAGCAAAGTAATATCTTCCTTGAAAGAAATTGAAGGAAAATTAGACAACAGTAAAACATGACAGTGGCTTAAGGATGAAGTATTTTAAAAAGGAAGCATTGTAGAAAGAATGCTTTTTATTGCTCAAGAACAAGCATTAAGTACAAATGTTATTAAAACAAAAGTAGAAAAGATCAGTTTAGATAGTAAATGCTAGTCGTGCCAAGGAAGACAATTACAAAAAAGGAATAGTTGAATTGGGAAGATATCACTGGCATTTTGGTCAAGAGTACAAATTCACCATCAATTCAGAATTGCTGGAAACATAAAATTGCAGATAACATCACAGGGCAAAAAAATTATGATACTTAAAATTCAGACTGATCAACTCTTTGAACATACTGCACACCTCTTTACTGTCTAAATTTGGAACAACTTACAACAGACCAATCACAACCAATAGTATTGTTGGGCTCCTCCTCATACACAGACATTACCCTTACCATGTCCAAGTTCTTGGGCAGACTTCAAATCATGAAGAATATGCTATTATACATGATTAGTGGAATAAGAATTATTCCTGCAACCAACATCTTTAGTAAAAATTATTTTCACTTCAATCAACTGAAGTCTAGAGTCTGCTTTCCTAAATGATTGGTTTGGGGCAGGTCTGAGAGCTTATTTTTAGCGACTTCTAGTGATGGAATTTTTACTAAAGATGTTGGTTGCAGGAAGATGAGGCGGAAATTGAAGTTCCCGCTCACTGATACAAAGAGCCAAACTTAATGTTCCTCATCCCTCCACTCAATGTCCAGTCCGTTATCACCCAATCTGGTATCGCCGAGATGTTGTGGGGAACTCTGGGTTGTTTAGGCTGTTGGAATTTCATACTCAGGGCAAGCGGCCTTGAAGATGCCTGGTGTAACCGGTACAAACAGCCCTGGTCTTCTTCACATATCAGTTCCCCCTTCCCATTTCCCACCATTAGATACACAGGTGTGCCTCTGCACTCCCTTCCCCTTTGATCGCAGGACGCCAGCAAGGCGCCAGGCCGACGATAGAGATCCTGACATAAGCTTTATTTGGCTATAAAAAAAAATTCAGTGGGGCAATTAATTGGGGCAATAGTTTATTAGCCAATTCAAAGTCATGGTATAATTCTCAGCTTCTTAAGGAATTTGCTCAATCAAGGCAGTAAAAAAAATACTCCAGGTTTAAAGTTTATATTCAATTATAATCAGGTTGAATAGGTAGCAGCCAAGTTCAAATAGCTGGTTTGGTGTTGTGGGTAAAAACACCAAGCTAGAACCAGAAGACTGTGAGTTTCTAGCCCTGGTTTCGACGTGAGACATCTGGGTAATTTTGGGTCAATCACTCTTCCTCAGCCTCTGTAAGGAAGCAATGCAAACCACTACCAAAAATATTGCTAATATTCAGGCAGTTTCCGGGAGTCAAGACTGGCATGGAGTCACAGGATCTGAGATAGTGTTCTGTCCCCCGTCCGACTCACACCCCGCAACCAGTCAGCCGAGGGCTAAAAGACTGCTCAGCACTGCCAAACACAGATAAACACTTGGCAGCAACTCCGTGGCTGCCTGCCAAGACCTTTACTGATAACTCACAGTACAAATACAAATCAAGTCCAGGATAATTCCGGAGTGCTACAACAGAAGATTCAGTATTGTTCGTCACAAGAGTTTCAAAGGGCACACCCCTTGCTTATATAGCCTGTGGGGTGTGGCCCAGTGACTCAGCTGAAATCTCTGGCACGACGTTTTAGCTGCTGCGCACGTTTGTCCCTCCGACGCTGGCGTGGATCCAGCCAAGACGTATCCTCCTCAGAGTCCGACACACCTGGCTCCTGGCCAATCCCAGAAGCACCTGGCTCCTGGCCAATCCCAGAA